TGTGAATGCAATCAAAAAAGTAAAAATGTGTTTTGTTTGGTTGCTTATGGTTAAGGTTACGGTTATCATAGGTAGGGTTAGGGTTATGCCTGTAGAAATGAACAGAGTCCCCACAAAGATAAGAATATATGAAGTGTGTGTGTGTGTGTGTGTTTAAAAAGCTACACTGGCTTTGCGTGGAGAGATCTGGGGAGCAATTTCCTCTGCCAGGTTAAAAACAGTGTCCGTTCCCCGACATAACCGCACCACACACACACACACACACACACACACACACACACACTGCGTGCAGAAGGTTCTTTTTCCTGCGCAGCCGTCCTGGCCGAGCTGCAGTGAGTGCCGTTACCTCTGCCCCACAAACACTGCATGGGGGGGGGGGTGAGTTACACACCTCGGAGGGACGGTGAACAAGGACAAGAGGCAGGGAAGAGGATCCTCTTTCTCATCAGGAAGAAGAAAAGCCTTGTTCCGGCTGCCTTCTCTGGCACATAAATAAATATTTGCGGTGCCCGGGCCGCCCCCCCTGAACCGCGCTCCTGTTGGGGGGGCCAAGGTTACTTGCTGGAGGTGTCTGAGGGGGAGGGGTCAGGCTCAGAGCCCGCCCGCACTGGCTGGGTCTCCCAGAAGCTTCCAGCGTGATGGGCAGGATCTTCCCGAACCCCGTGCTTGGAACCCTGCTGCTTTCTAAATGCTCTTTGGAAGTTCCTTTGGCCACAAGTCCGGCCAGGAGGGACGCCGGCCCGACGTTAGCAAGCATAAACCCCTGGGTCCGGTTTCACCAGAGTGAAACTGGAGTTTCGGGGAGTGCTGTCAGAAGGTGGGGGTGGGGGGGGTGTATTTTTGTTTCTGTTTCCTCTGGATGTTTCTGCACACGTTTTGGCAGAGAGCGGCAGAACTGGTGGAGCGACACAAAGCGGGAGAGCTGAGTCAGCACCTGGGAGGGGGGGATTTTCCCCTTCGCTCTGTTTGCCTCAATGCTCGTCCTGGGATTGCTCTTCTCGAACCTGGGGCCGGCCCAGAAAGCCGTGCGCCCTGAGCCGAGGTATCTTGTGATGGTTCCCCTGCTCCTGGCACAGAAGCACGCCGGCTCCCTGGAACACAGTTAAAGCCCTTTGCTCGATAGCCCAGCGGTGACAGCCCTCTGCCGACCCTGGGATCTGATCCCATGATTAACGGATCACACCACCCCTTTTCAGAATAGTGGGTGATTCCCAAAACGGTGACCGCAGATGGAGATGTACCGGTGGGGGGGGGGGGGATTTGTCACACGTGCAGGTTACACACATCTGTATCTGTGTATGTGCCCCCCTGGCTCCTGTTTGCATGTGATCAGCGCTCCCTGCTTCCCCCTCATGTTTCCCAGCCCTTCCTTGGCAGGGTCTTAGCCTTTAGCGCTGAATACGGCTCATTACTGCACTGCAACAGAGCTCCAGGCAGAATACAGGTCCCTGTTTGTTAATAAGGTGTTTTACCTGTGGGGGGGGGGGGGGTGTATCGGAGGTGGGCCTCCTCGTGCAGTGAGGTTAGGGAAACGCCCTCCCTCTCAAACACACCGATCCTCCGTCTACCAGGCGACGCCCCCCCCTTAAAACCACCCAGCACACTTTCTCCCACATTCCTATATACTTTGTTCCCATCCCCCTCTCTCTCTTTTACTGTCTTCCTTTCTTTCCCTCTTTCCCAATCCCCCAGACCCTTAGCAGGGGTTCTGCCCATTGTGAAAGCCGCTGCCCCCTGCTGAGCGAGTGTGTGTGTGTGAGAGAGAGAGAGAGAGAGAGAGAGATCTGGACAGCTACACTGAGGCTGGTCCATGTCAAGGTCGCCCATGACCCATTCTGGCGTGAGGCTGCGTTGCCTGCGTAACCGGCGGCTTAGGGTCCAAAAGCACTCATGCACACGCATGTGCAGGCGGTGACGATTACATAACCCGCACAGCGCCCCCTAGTGACAGCCGGTGCTCACTGACAGGCTCACCCTAGAACTCACGGCAATGGTGCCTTGAACTCTGAAATCGGCACGCAGCCCCCCCCCCCGCCGGACGGCACCACACCACATCTGTGAGGACGTGACCGCGGCTGGATTGGGCACACCCAGCTTGCGTCGGAGTATGGAAAATAGACAGTAACTTGTTTCCTGAGTGGGTGGGGGGAGGATGGAGCTAAATTAATCTGCTTAAAGGTACCGTGATGGGAGGGGGGATTCTAACACAGCTATGATTGTTAAGAGGAGCCCCCCCCTCCCCTTCCCGATGGGTCGGCACAAGAACCACGATGTTGCAGCAGTGCACAAAATTCCCCCTGAATCAGACTGTCAGTGACCTGGAAGTGATTTGTGTGTATATGGGTGGGTGGGGGTCAACACGAATAGGTATGAACACATCTATGTGCTTGGCGCCCCCAGGAGGCTCTTAGGCTGCCATGCATCCACCCTGAACATGTGTCTGTCTGTTGGTCTGTGTGTTTTTGTAATTACACTTTGTGTACGTAATTTCCCCACAATCTGATAAAAATCTGTTACTTTTTAGACTTTTTTTCGGTCCCCCAAGGATAACCTCAGTTTTATCAAAAATCTGTGAATGCAATCAAAAAACTAAAAATGCCAGAAGCCTTGTATTCTGTTTGGTTACTTATGGTTGATGTTAGGGCTGGGGAGGGGTTAAGGTGATCATGTTAGGGTTTTCCCCATAGAAATGAATGGAGAGTCCCCACAATGATATGAATATAAATGTCTGTGTGTGTTTGTGCAGCTCACGCTGGATGGCTTGCCTGGTACACGCTGTGCCAGGGGGCCTAAATATAGCGTTGCGCAAGGAAGAGGTTGTGGGGGCGGGGCAGGGGTAAACAGAGCCGCACTTCCAGGCGATTAGGGGAGGCTGGGGGAGGCCGAGGAGGAGAAGTGGAGCGTTGAGCCTCCGCCCGTCTGCCGTTATGTCATTCTCGCCTTTTTTACAGCAGGTGATATTCTTCCTTGGCTCGGTATGTGGAGTAAAATGCAGCTGTCAGACACCCCCGAACCCCCCCCCCCCTCCCTTATGATTGCATTTTTCTTCACCACCCTTCTTATTTTATAAAGACCTTTGCTTGTTTTTTCACGGAGTGGCTGATACAAAGAGAGACGTGATCTGTCCCCTCCGGCGTCCCGTGCAGGAGGGATCGGCCCGTGAGCTGCAAATGTTCTCAGATCCTCTCTGTAGCCTAAACAAACGTGGGGCCAGTCCTGCGGTTTAATCGTCCATCCGGGGAACCATAACAATGGTGTGTTTGTGTGAGAGACGCGACGTATTATTACCAAAACAAGCTGCTGCTCCTGTGAATCTGCGGCGATTGAGGGAGAGACGCTGCAACGTGGTCGTAGCTCCAGAGAGGGGCGCTTGTCTTTGGGCTGTAGTTAGGGCAGAGGGGCGCTTGTCTTTGGGCTGTAGTTAGGGCAGGAGGGGGGGTGTCTTTGGCCTGTAGTTAGGGCAGGAGGGGGGGTGTCTTTGGCCTGTAGTTAGGGCAGGGGTCATTTGTCTTGCGGCCTCTAGTTGGGGGAGAGAGGAGGCATTTTTCTTTTGACCTGTAGCTTTGGGAGGGGAGGTTTGTTCTGCATAAGAGCTTGATTTTGGTTTCCTCTCGAAAAGTTTACACCTCGTGCTCAGTCACCTTGAAGATCCTCTGATCTGAAAAGCAGTCTAAAGTCATTTTCCACAGGGAGGGGCTACCTATCTCCACTTTCTGTTTTTGGCCGACGGTCTCGGCTGTGGAGGACAAAATGCCGTCGGCTTCGTCCCACAATCCTGCACCCAATTCGCCGCTTTCGCAGTTTCATGCTTACTTACAAAATTCCTCTTGTTTTTTCGCAGAATGCTGACGGCCCTCCTCCCGTCCTTGGAATTTTGGGAAACCGGAGTCCCCAGGGGAACCTCGGCCTCCAGGCTGCTATCGTGACGTCCGCCGCAGCGGAGGCATCGGATGCCGGAACGCCGGGACTGGGACGCGCCGGCGAAGCACTTTATGAAACACAGTTCTCAGTCAACTCCTGGTATGTTTCGCCCCTGTGATCAGCGGGACCTCGTGCCAAAAGACCCGTCTGCCATTTCAATCATGTAATGGGAAGCCCTACAGCCATCAGAATCGCATACTGGGACCTACTGCCAACTGGGAGCCCTGACGTATTTCCTTTATCCTTAGCGGGGGCTGAAATTGAGCGGCAACTCGTCGCAATGGACACTGGGAAGGAGATTTAACCTTTTGTAAATGTCGCGTGTGTCCTGCTTGGAAACAAAAAGTGCCTCATTTTTGATTGTAAGCGTCCTGCAAAGTAGCCAGCGTCTTCACTTGAGTACGAGTAAGACGGTACAAAACAACATGAACGGAGACCTTCTGGGGGAGACCTTCTGGGGGACGGCAGGCAGGCCAACAGGAGACCTGGTTTTCTTTGTGAAATCCATTCCCACGTGCGCCCCTCCCCACACACACACGCCACCATGACGACCTCCTGCACGCAGATGCACTCGCGTATCCTCAGAGCAGCCTCACAGCACTACCTGATACATACATACACCCGCACGCGCAGACGCACATGCAGACGTATGCGTAGACGGCCGCCGGTCTGCAAGGCTGGCTCCGCTGCCGGGGTGCCCCGCTCACTCGCGGTCGTCATGGTGACGCGCGGGCAGCTTGCGGCACCGGCAGGCCGCCGCTGCAGAGTCCCAAATCCCATTAAAAGATCATTACGGCCACTGCTCCAGTTGGCCCGTGACGGACAGCAGTCAGGTGGGGAGCTCCGGGATGGTGCTGGGGGTGTATTCCTGCCCAGCCCTCCCTGACCTCTTGCCCCCCCCCCCCCCCGTGCAGGGATAACATGGTGGGGGGCTGGTATCAGCTGTTGTAGGTTTCACTGTCCCTCAGCTCTCTCTTGCCATGCTAGAAAACGTAGCAATTCACCCCCCATGCATGCCCTGGGGGGGGGGGGCTGAGTGCCTGACTTTTCTGCCCTTGTGCAGCCCTACCTGGTACATCCATCCTGCTTGCATTTGTCTCTTTGCCTTGGTCCGTTTTCCGCCTCATTTTCCTGCCTACCACCCCCCCCCCCCAACCCAAGCCTCATAAGCCCACCTACAACTGCCTCTTCCGCCTCCCCAGCTTTGTTATGGTGAGCCTAATTGGTGAGGGAGGCAAGGCAACATGCGAGCTAGGGGTGGAATGGAAGGTGGTGGGCGGAGCTAAGGCCACGCGCTTAGACCAATCAGAACACGAGCCAAACAGCAGTCGCCGTGTGATTTGACAGTATCGCGGCAGGCTGTCATGCTGCTTCAGAGACCCATTTGTGTCTCACACTTTCACACTGGGGTTACTACCTTAAACCTCATATTTTAAAGATCAAATCGATTGTTAAAGTGACCGTCCCACCCCACAACATCCCTGGGGTCCCAGTGACGCCTCAGTGTTACAGTGCTGGTTAATATTTCATCAGTATTGCCAGATTTTTTTTTTCTATTTTTTCATTTCTCTCTTTTTTTTTTCTAGATGTAATTGATAAATGATAGGTACAGTATTGGGGAAAAGTACAAATTAGTAAATATGTGTCTGTTCTTTTTGTGTACTTTTGACTGGTGTGTGTATATGTATGTATATAAAATGCCTTAGAGACGATTGTGTGTTTTCTCACCACAAAGCTGCTGGAATCTGAGTTTGAGAGTCTCGTGTGAATATTAGCAGAGAGCACACATTGTCACACTGATGGCAGCGTGCGAATCGCCCCCCCTGCCACCACTCGCCGCTCACCTTTCTCCTGTTGTCACAGCGATGTGCTTTTTAATTTTTTTTCCCACCAACGGTACAGTCAGTAATTTGCAAACGGTTCCCGAAAAGCTGTGGTGTGCTGGGGACAGGGCACCCCCCCCTGGGACGACCCGATTGACCTGCTGGGTCCACTGCCTTGGGTGGAGCTATCTTTAATTTCACTGGAATCGTTACATCATACAAGATGAGAGTCAAATACTGACAATACAAATTGGGGAGGGGGGGGGACTGTATTTAGGCCATAAGGAGCATTTTATGTCTGAGTTATAGAGTTATTAGGTGGTTTATTTGGGTGAGTAGGTGGGGGAGGGGGGCATGGGGATTATTTTGGATTGTTTAAAATAGAAATGTTCCATGAGATCATGCTTACCTGCTCTGTAGAAATCGCTCTGTCCCTCGGAAAACAAAAATGGACAGAAGACGAGGAAATGGAACTGAAACACACCAGTCTGAGTCCTTAAAGCACAAACGTCCGGTCTGACAAGACTGGAGTGGGTCATTACGGATAGACCCCCCCCCCAACCTTGTCCTGAGAATGCCGAGGAGCAGGCCATAGTAGACCGGAAGGGGCTGGGCCATGCAGACCTGTGTCCCAAGGACGACGCGGATGGACACAGATGTGCGGACTTAAGGAGCCAGAGGGCCTGGGGGTGACGGTTTCCTTGGAGATGCTGTTAAAAATGCCGAATGAGTATGTGCGGAGTGTTTGAGAAACCAAAATGGCATTAAAAAGAGAAAAAAAACACATAATTGTTACCCTCAGTGAATACGTAAATGCTTCTAAATAAAACTCTATTTATTTAAGTTTATGTTAAGCTGCAGAACATGTTGAGGCAGCCGTAGCTGGAGGCCAGAACAAGGCTTTTCATGGGGAAGAAGATCCGTCAGTGTAATAGAGGTAATTGAGATATATCAACTGATCCAGACATCATGTATGGAATTCGTCCAGATATATCATACTTACAAAAATTTACCACTGAAAGTGACTGGGATTAACTAAAACATACACTAGAATACTTGTGTGAGGTCTGTAAAACAGTACAGTAAAATCCCGTTATAGTGGAATATCGTCTATAACGGACGAGGTCTGCTGGTCCCGGCCGTGCGCCTTTAAGAACATGCAGAAAAAGCATCGGATATAGCGGACTTTGGATATAAAGGACTATTTCGCCAGGTCCGTTGAAGTCCGTTATAACTGGATTTTACTGTATTAAATATCTGTTGTGTCTGTTCCATTTCCCAGAAGACTCATGTTCTCAGCTTGTTGTGCAAAACCAGTTTATCTATGGGAGTGAATGTTTCCTGTAACGTATGTGAGGATACCCAGGGGTAGGAGGCCAGGTTCTGCTTCCACACGGCTAGGTGGGCACTATTCCCCTACCATCACAAAGGTCAATTGATCACCAGTCAACAAATCAATCCATTTCCAGTGACTGCTTATCCAGATAAGGTCAGTGATCCAAAGTCTGTCCCAGGAAGCAGGGCGGTTCATAGAAATGTGGGCCTTCCTGGAACAATATCTTAGGCCTCAGTGGGTCTTGCTTGGGCCACTGACATTAGATTGTCTGCCTTCTCAGGCCATGATTTTTGAACAGGAAATGTGCAAGAATTTGGGGACGTTCACATGACATGGATATACCGAGTCATTAACCCCAAAGCCTTTCTGCCACGATCAGATTTTCCAGGTTCAGAGACTGTGGTGTGATTCAGACGCTGGAGGTAGGGCTATCATGGGGGGGGGGGTTGTCTCTCTTCCACTGGGATTATGGGGTCTCTGAGTGCACCTCGATCTCACCCACCGCGATGGCGTGGCCTGACACCGGCTCTGCTCTTCAGGCGGTCGCCATGGAGACACAGAGACAAACTCCCCATTGAGCGGTGGGAGGCCAGAGGGGCCGATGAAGCGTCGGCGTGGCGACCACACTCTGAGATAGAGCCAGAGCAGGGTGGAGGTTGCGGGGGGGGGGGAGGACACAGAGTGCAGATGGACTGGAAGCTATACGAGAGAGTGATGCCACACATCGGATTAGCGAAACACCTGCTTAACGAAAGAGTGATGACAGGCACAGCTGTCCGGCAAAAGGGTGACGTCCCTGAGCAGATGGCCAACCAGTAGGGGGCGCAAGATGGGGGCAGAATATGAAAGAGGTGCCCCAGGTACAGGGGCAGGATGGGGTTCCTGAGGTTCCAACACACACACACACACACACACACACACAAAAATAAAAAACCACAGATAGTCTGGGAATCCAACGCTCCACAAATTCAACAATGGCACAAAGCAGGGAGCCAATCAGACGTCACCGCACGGCCCGGCCAATCAAGATACACGGGATCAAGGCGCATTCATGAATCATGAATGAAAGGCTGCAAGACAGGAACAGGAGGGCGGGGGAAAAAAAAAAGCGAGGTCCTTGAAGATGTGAATTCCAGTCTCCCTCCAATAAAGAAAAGAAAAAAAAACAAAACCTGGAGTCTCAGGTGACAGAGCTATGCTGTTACTCCATTACTCAACTAACCACAAGTGCGGAGCAAGAGAAACACCCAAGTTCACAGCCTTGATGCTCATACAGGAACCGTTCAGTCTGTGAATCGCTTCCCCTTTGGCACGGGTGGTGACAGGAAGCCTGCTTCTCGCGCGTGACGCGGAAAGGCCTCCCCCGCTAATCCAAACACAAAGGCGGCTCGGGGACTGGGCAACTTTGACGGCTCAGTCTGGATGAAAGGGAAGCGGCTTTTCATTGAGGAGCCCTTTATCCGCAGCCTGGCCTTCTCCCGTCTGCAGATAGCGTTAGCTCTTCAGAGGACTGGTAAAGCACTGAAGCAGTCTCCCCCGCGTTCCTGGGACGCCACATGCCTGTCCCTACCACCCGGCCCTTTCCTTGTTAATATTTTCCCCTTCCATTGTTCAGTGTCAGTCGAGTCAGCTGGCCACGGGTGTTTCTTCTGTGTTCAAAGTGATTTTTTTTTTACAGCCTGGCACATTGAGGAGCCGGGGAAACTGACCAAGGGGGAAAAAAATGAAATGGGACTGACGTCAGTTGTGGGAATGTTAACTTTTGCAGGATTTCCATTTTCTTCCTTTTAGCTTAGTTTCATTTCTTTCCTCCCCCCCCCCCCACCACCACCTCCCATCCTTCCCTCTTTTTCATAGCTAAACAAAAAGGCTTTCTATCCTTTCTCCTTTAACCCCCCCTTCTAGCCCCCCCACTCCCCAAGTGACATGTACGATGTTGTGGTAGAGTATGGATACCATAAATAAAACATGCAGCGTGATTGTGTTCTGTTTCTCTTTTGCTGTAATGTAAGTCTCACATTCAGGTTCCTCAATTCAGTCAAAAAAATTGCGGGGAGGGGGGCAGGAGAGGTAAAGGACTGAGGGGCCTCTGTACTTATTTTCCTTAAAAGCTCCCTCACACTCACAGGCACATGGAGGCACCGTTTCTCCCTTCAGGCTGAGAGGGGGAGGCAGGGAGTGAGGAGATCGCTTAGGAAGAAGAATTACGACGAACGGGGAAATCGGGAGTTATCAGTAACCATGTACACGTGCTGTCCAGCAAATTATACTCATGGCAAATTTTAAACGTCAAATTGCATGTTGAGATTCTACGTTTGTTCTGCATTTAATAAACAAAGGACTGAGTAGCTTTATTTTAAATATCGTTCCTTACCGTTCCCTTTAAGATCGTTTCGCTCCGTCCTGCCGCAGCCCTCCGTCGGAACCAAAAAGTAGCGCGCTGCCGTGACGACGGCGGGGTTTCAGCTCTGGGAATTGGTCAAGGGTCAGTTGCCATGAATGGAGCCGTTTCTGTGGTGTGAGAGGATGCTGAGGCTTTTTTCCGTGCTTGAAGTCATGTGCGAACTGTGTGAACGTTTAAACTGGAGGCAGTTAAAAATCGTCAGCACTGCCAATTATAAACGCAAATATACGTTATATACATTTACAAATTATAATTTGCCAAATAGATGGTAAACTAAATGTAAAGCAGGGTAGCCAAAACATTAAACTGAAATCAGTCCGGTATGATGGAAAAAAACAGACTTAGTATCGAAAATGTACATGTGCATATTTTCTGTTCTTAGCTGGGTCTGTTTTCTACATAACCTGAGATGACCCACAAATAAACCTTATAGCCGTTTGTTGCTTTTCACTGCCGCCTAGTGGCGAAGGGGAAGCGTCTATTTCATTTATTTATCCCCCCCCAAAGAAAAAAAAAATCTCCAATCTTTCGGGAATCTTAGGGAAGGAATGTAAACAATCGGCACGCATTGTGACGAATACAAAGCCGCCGCTGTTAAAGGGAGCGGCGGTGCGGAGGCGCACTGAAAGCAGCGTGGGACGTGAAATCATTCTCCGCGTGGCAAGATGGAGGCGCGCCATAAAATGCGGAAAATCGGGTGACGGCCTGGGGAGTGGCGGGAAAACCACTGCAGGACGAGAAACTTGTGGGACAACTTCAGCCATGAAACTTTAGACCTGGATTTAACCCAGTGAAGGAGGGGTCCGGGGGTGGACGCCCGCCCCCTCCGCAAGAGAAGGGAATTTCACAGCAAGCCTGGAGTGTATATTTCATGTTTTTATAGACCTATATTTATGTAAAATACATTATTTATAGAATAGTCTCTCTGCAGTATTTTTTCTAGCAACAGGCGTAACTCGCAACAGCACAATGAAAATCAGTAGAAAAAATACACTATTTCTCCAAATACGTAAAGGCCCCATGATGTGATTCTAATATTATATATTACAGTACAGGAGCATAAAACCAGCATTTCTCATACCCCTCCTGACTAATATAGCAGCCGAATTCTTTGACATACATGATCAGTTGTTCAGTGGATTTTTAGTAATAATCACCAGAATAATCAGAAGGTCTAATGAAAAAAATAACTTTTTTTCGGGTCGGCGAGTTTTCGGCATAACACGGTAGGTGGAGGGTAGCTCTACAGTTTTCAGAGGAATTTGTTTTATTTTTTCTTATTTTATTTGTTTTAGTTTCTCTAGAATAGCCCTAGCACTGTACAAATGCCTTCGTATAATTATATGTTTAACAGGTCATATCTTTTTACTTAAACCAAGTAAAACTTTGAATATTTTTGCAGCCTATTTACGAGCTCAGTTTTTTTTCTCACTAGGTTTTCCAGTAAAATTTGCAGGGCCAGATTTAACTAAAGCCCACACGGAGAATTGACAAAGTTTTAGAAACGCATATATTTGGAGGGGGAAAGACACCGATTTATATACATGGCGTGCGCATTTTCTCCAGCAGGTGGTGCAATTAACTGAGAAACTACAGTTTAAAATGTGTTGTCGTACCGCAGATGTCCCGGTGTAATACAGTGTATTAGTTCTTTACAACTTGCTCGATTTGCCCATTTCGTCATTCATTTTTTTTACATCGATTTGAAGTTTTTGCAGGCGAAATAATATTAGTGAAACATATTTACTAAAGCAATAACATGCAGTTTAGAATCCCTAAACAGTTTAGTGTTTAGCAATATAATGCGGTAAGAGGCTTTAGAAGCTATTCTTGTTTGTGAGTCTGGTTCGTATTCCACTGTTTGAGGAATAACATGAGGTAACTTCGTCTACACAAATGAGCGCTAAGCAACCCTAGAACTGAATACCAAAATAACAGACCACAAAACAATTCCAGATCTCAACACTAGTAATATGGGAATAGCACATAGTCTAGTGTTAATTAGACGACAATTACTGCGGTTTCTGTGAGAAAAAGCCAGAGGCATAGCGACAGGACAGGCAAGACCGGCAGTTGGATGGGGCACTGAGCTGGGAGGGGGCCCCCGAGGGCGGCCGATTACATAGTAGGCCTATACTGCAATGACAAATATGCTTTATTTACGTATTCTGTTTTTCACAGAAACGAAAATGAAGGACTTATGTTTATTAAATTGTATTTGTTGGTATTAGTAATTTAGACTTCATGGTGATAGTATTAAATTGTACCATGCTGGAAGAGGGTGAGTAGGAGCAGACCATGGAGTTGGTCTGCTTAGGGCCCCCACTGTCCCTAAAATCGCCTCTGGAAAAATCCTTTATCATATGACATGGAATATCTTATTTTCTGTGTCATTTAAACAATCGGTCTTTGTCAGTCACGTGTCTGCACTGTCTGACACGCCCCCATTCGCCATTTTGAAGGTATTCGCGGACGCAAACACTAGGAAGAATGAAGATAGGAAGAAAAAGCAGGACGAGAAAATTCCTTACAGAGAAAAACTTCATCAGTATTTGGCTAAATTGTCAACAATCAGCAATATAGATCCGTATGATCTGACATAAAAAAATGGAATTCCGACGCGACATTGTTGCCTCTAACTTCATCTCTGGATATAACAAACTACCTTGGTTTATGGTATCAGCGCTTACACATATGAACAGTTCAAGAACTATAAATCTCTTGAAGCCCACGGACATTTCATCAATGGCTGGGTGTAGGATCTGTTCACATTTCGAACGCAGGACTGCGACAACACAATCGTCACTGCAAAGGTACGCTAACTTGTAATCAAGTTGCAAACAAATCTGTACAGCCTCGAACAAATTAGACTAAGGGGGGACATGGTCCAGGCATATTAGATTCTAACAGGTCTGGATGCAGCCAAATGGCTACTTCAATAAATTTCTTATGTTCAAGTTAAGTTATTAGTAATTATATGATGAAGTTAACTGTAATCATGTAGACAGCCTTACAAATGCACAATAAATAATAATACATGGAATAATTTAACACCTCCTCTACCTGCCGTCCATATCCTTTTTTCCAAGTGGGAATCCGAAAAAATCTTATGTTGTGGTCCACCTTTCTGCCTTGTGATTTAGTATGACAGCCTTTCACACAGCACGAGTATCCCATCTTTCGAAGGATAAAGGCGGATGCAAACGCTTGCTCTTGAGTTATATACCTGCACAATGGCGATTCGACCCAGAATACACTGCGACTTTAGCGAGTGTGACATCAACTGCCAAAGACCGATAGATGATAAAGTTTTAAATCCATCCGTTCCTGTCCTTTCCTGGAGGCTACAGGCATAGGGCAAGAACAAACCAGGAGGGGGCGCCAACCCATAGCAGGGCCTAGTTACATACACACCTATGGGCAATCTGGGAATTACACTTAACTTCAGAATGTTTCTGGACTGGGGGAGGGGGCAGAATGCCTGATGACTTGGGGAGAACAAGCAAACTCCCCAAACAGAATCCTGGGGCAGACCTGAACCCAGGTCCCAGAGGTGTTAGGCAGCATTACTAACGACCGCAACACCCCGGACGTTTTAGATGCCTTAACAAAAAAGGTCAGAATGCCAAAGAGTGAGAACAATAAGGTCAAGTTATATTCACATTAAAATTTCACCAAGGCGACATCTTCATGTTGTACGTTTTAGTAGTCCATTAGTATGTCAAACCTCATTGTGAAAATAAGGCAGATGGAAAGGTAACTTTGTGGATTAGATCCAGATAACAGGCTGCTGCTTGAACTTTAATTATAGGGAGGGGTCAGTTTGGGGCAAGCAGCATGTAACAAGAGAGCGGCTGCTGTCTAATGATATTCTGGGGGTTGATTTTTGCATTTGTTTGAATGTGTTTTTTCTGATGAATCTTTTCCCTTTTGTGCTGTCGTCTCTCCCTGGCATCTAACTGATCGATTAATCTGCCCATGGTAATTTTTTAATGATCTGTGTTTTGGGAGTAAAAAACGTCCTACGGGAAAGGATGGGTGGAGGAGGGGAGGGGGGTACTGGAGCACTGGAGGGCTGGTTACTCTGGAAAGTGACAGGATGTAACAGTCTCCTGTATGAGGGCTAAACCGTCATCGCTCTGCTGGAAATGAGACTTATTTGCATGGTACTTGCTGTAAGTATAGATGGTGAGTGATGTGCATGGAGGCTGGCGGACGGAGGCAAACATGGCTTAGTGTGGAGCTATAACAGAACTGCTGGGCCAGGCAAGAGGAGGACTGGGGGTCTATTCTATCTCATGGCACAGTCCATGGGTTCTGTTAGGTCCGATCACTCGGAGCTATAGTCCAGCATTTTGACTCTGTTGCCAGTCTCCCTTCAAAAAAATAAAAATAAAAATCAAGCCCCAGGTAATCTTGCCTTAGGCCCTGCTCTTTTCAATAGCTGGAAACGTCCCTGGCAGCCTCATACGTAATTTAACTGGTGTGTATATGTACAGAACATGGTGTTAGATGTACATCTGAGATGCTGCACACAGATTTAGATATATGACGTAGGTACTCCACATTGGGTTGATGTGCCTGAGATACACGATGTCGGTTTAGATATCACTGAAACTCTTAAACTGGCTATAGCTATGACTGAAATATTGCATGTTGAGTTAAATACGACCAAAACTGACTATTTCCTTTCTTTATTTCCATTCTTTCCCCTCCCCAGTGTTTATTGTTTTCCTGTTATTGTTTTTTTTTTTTTTTTTTTAAGCTCATCATTCATTTCTACCCTAAGTGGGTCATTTATAAGGGAAAATATTGAGAGTTAAATTTCTTTACCTGGGGTTTGACTTCTTAATTGTTTTTGAAGGAGGATAATTGGCATCGGGGCTAAAATACTCGGGAATAGGCTTAAAATAATCGGGGCTACAGCCCGACTGATAGAACCTAACGACGACCATGTGTCTAGCTAAAGGAGATCTACATATATAATGCAGAGAATAATTTTCTGTTTATTAACCGAATATACACGACACTCCCTCGATTTAGAACCATCCTCACCGGCGCTTTAATTGCTGTGAAACGGACCGCAGCTCAAAGCTAAATGAATAGAATGGTGAAGCCTCACACTCCGTGGCGCTCACGTCAGCGTCTGAACACTGTGAACATGGGACAGTGAGTGATGATGATCAGTTAGTCTAAACAAAGAATAAAACGAGGACAGGGGCAACTGTTTTCATCAAGGCAGTGTTGTGCTTGGCGCTGACGTCAGGACCGGTCACACTTTTCTTTCGCTTTTGTGAGGTCTGTCTCAGCACGTTTCTCACGGCCCTGTCTTACTCACTCCTCTTACGCCAAAAGTTCGAAAGCTCTCGGGGAATTTGTATTGTATCCTGCGCGATTTCCCGCACGCTGTCGGGAATTGAGCTGTCTGCAGTTGGCCTCTGGGGATTTTAAACGTCTATGCTTAATTAGACTCATTTAGGGTTAATTAATTCAGGATCAGGCTCGCGTATCAACACCGATTTACCTGACGTCTGCAAATCATTCCTTGCTTACTTGTTGAATTATGCTGGCATACTGGCTCAGTATTAAAGTACGTATTTATTCTAACAATTTCAGCTAATATTGGTTAAACACTTAATTGTGACGGCATCTACCAACAAAAGCAGAAGACCCTATGCCCTCTTGTCCTGGTAATATATGAAGCAACTGATGTGCATTATCCAACGCATTAAGATAAAATCAAAACCTGATGGAGGCTGTGGTAATTAGATACTGCCTGTCGCTCTGCAGGAGGGCTGGTCTGTTGGCGGTGATAAGCAGGTTCCTTCTTTATTGTAAGAGCTAACAGTTGCTTAAGGGAATCCAGTGCTGATAAGTTAGTTTCGGTTGTTTGTTTTGGGAAGTTTAGAAATATCGTTTTTTTAAACAGACAGCTCTGGATCATTTCTGAGGATTCTGTCACTTTGTCTCACTTTTTGCCTTATCGAATAATGCATCGTTTTATAATGTGTCGAACCACTAATTGGACCACTAATTGTAAAATGTATTTTATTTTATTACAGAAACGTGAATATTTCTGGATAATACAGGCCTAATAAATAACGATTAAATCAATTATACAAAGAATGCCAAGGATTGAAACAATGTAACAAAGTGGGAATACAAAACATAAAATCACAGTATTTTTACACATATCCTGTTATCATTTCATAGTCTCCAATTCAGAGACGGGTGGGGCCTTTATCAATAAATAGGCATAGTGTGAAATAGTTTCGTCAGATAATTATATAAACAGGTTCACAAGTGGTTTAATACTGTTAAACATTGTTTTTTTCCCCTTGGTCAATACCAAGTAGCAAAAAACGTCATTGGTCTTTATTTGACAGTCAAGGTCCCACAACTTCTTCATTTCAGATCAGAAGCGGGATCTTCGGTTATTATATCATATAACACGACATCAACGCAATGTCCTTCATTTCTTCGTTGGTCATGCACTCTGTGGGAAAAAACAAAAAGACCAGGGCGTTATTATAAATGGGTCACACACCAAAGTGTATATTTTAATGTTTAACTCGACCAGCAAAACCAAGTTAAACATATAAGAGATGGTTCGACTATATCGTAATTCATAAGGGTCTTCTAAAATGTTTGAGTATATTTGGTAGTTAAAACACACACACACACACACGCACACACACACACATATCCCAGTTTTCTATATTTTATGTTTGTAACCATTCAAAAATTGAACATGTTCTGAATATTTAACTGTTTATTGTGATGTAAAAAACAGTTAACACAAGTTTATCCACTTACGGTGTCTATGCTCTGGTGAAGTCTGGCGGGTATCACTGACAAATCTTCCATATATCCGCCTTAGAGAGCGCCAGATCTTGCCTTTTCTGGTCCTGGGAGCCGGATCCGAGGCCGGATTTGGGCTGAACAGGTCGGGCTCGGGTTTTCCATCGCTGTCACTGTCACTTTCGTCTTCCAGAAACCCAGCTGCCAGAGTCTGATCGAGAAGCCCTTCGTCCACCCGGAGCGCCTGTCGCAAATCGCCGCTTGCGGAAATGGGGGTGGAGTGGCGGCATAGCGGGCAGATAATCGTACAAGCCTCTGCCGGACACGCCGATTGCCGGACTATCGCCGACAGGCAGCTCTCGCAGAAAGTATGCCGGCATCCCAGCTCTCTGGGAAGACGACGACCCGTGTTGTAGCTCCGGTAACAAATACCACACTCTAGTTCTGAGGTCATTTTCCTATCCCGATCCTATTGAGTTCTTGCCGTAAGCATCACTGATACTGTCTGTTGTGTTGAATTACCACTATTCTTATAGTGAAAGGTGCATGACACGCCCATTATAAAAAAAAAAAACCAAACATACTTTTCCTAACGCATGGCGAACCCAGTGACGTCTCTCCTCGAAACACTCCCTCTATTTTCATTACTGTCTTTTTAAGGTGGACCCACTGAAACTAAACATTTACCGAAACGGTTTTGTTCTAAGTGCTACCGAGTACATTATATAGCTTTTTCTGAAAGACAAATAATACGACAATCAAAATCATATAAATTGAATTTGTAGGCCTAGTTAAATTGTTTCTCGTGCGTGTACATTAGGGGAAATCCTGAACACTAGGTAAAATCTTATATGAAGAGCAGGGGCTAATGAAAACTATATTAACCCTAATAATACATGTTTATTATTATTATTACTATTGATATGTTGTGTATTTCTTGGACTTAGCAGCTTCAAATGGAGTTTCTTCCCTTGCAAGCAGTTGAAAACTCCACGTGACTCAGCCTTCCAGAGTACTTTATAGTATTATTGCACAATAAGACTAGACATCGTATTTGACTACCTTAAAAAGGAATCGATTGTTTTGTTTTAAACTTGGAAAATCTCAATGAAAGAAATCTGTTAAAATGACCCTATTTTGATATCCGCAGATGCTATTTAGCACCCATTCCACCTTAAATGATCTGCGAACGGTTCCAGGAAATTATTTACTCCCCCAGTAAATTAGTAATACTTTAAGGGTAATAAAGAGTTCAAAACTACGAAAAGGGGCTTCTGTATAATGAATGACTGTATAATAAAGTTAAATATTTCCACCTTCCTGTTTCCTGAATGATAAATGTGTACTCAAATCAATTGTTTTGGATGCCATTCAATGACGTTCGCTTTTCAGGTGTGTATGTTTACCGGATTGGGGGAGTAACAGGAAAATAAGTCAACCGAGTTAACCGACACAGACTTGTTTGTCAATTGTAAGCTCAAGGAGGACAGTGAGCCAGTTTGCCACAGTGAGGTAACTGTTTACACAATCAGTTAATCTGTAATAGTCTGTAACAGAAATAATTAAGTAAGAATGAATGGGATTGCTATAGGCCTACGTCATGACAGTTTGATACTATATAGATATTATTTAGTGTTTAAAGTACTGACTTGTGGCATATCCCAGCACAAACATTCATATTGTTGTTGTTTTTTGCATTACATAGACACTTTTACCAAAGACAACATACTTTATTGAGGGAACAAGGTCAACCGATTCCTAGAGACCCGAGAACCTCAAGGACCCGGCAGTAAAACCACAACGTCTAACCCACTGAGTCAAATCCCATTCGGAGAGAAAGTGTTTGACAGAACAATCCATGGTGGGTCTCAGTGGAAGTAGATCTTTCATGTCATGTTTACATTAAAAAATGAATGACCAGAAATGGGCGTATTGCACAATTCATATGACTGACTGAAATGATGAGTCATCGCAGAAACTCGTGTCAGTGGGAAATTACTGTCTTTGTATGCAGGTCAAATATTATCTCGCAATGAAGACTATAATAGGATGAAAAGGCATTCAGACAGAAAATGTCTTGATTGTAAAGATAAGCACATTATTAAAAAAAAAAAAAAACAGGAAATTTTGTAATGGAATTCCCCTTCCCTGCTAAGCTGAAAATAGTGGTTGAAGGAATGAATTATGATATTTGAATAGGCAATTCCTCTTCTGTTCACATGCTTCTTTCTGCCCTTTCAGGAGACATAATTATGATAAGCAAATTATGAAATAGGACTCAGTTTTGAGCTATTTCCCTTCCTCACTAAAAGAAAATCTTAGAAATATGTGTTGTGTGACATCATCAGTCACACTGAGGCCATTGCTTAGTAAATATGGTACATGGATCCAATTAATGCCTGAACTCAACTTGTTTCGTGTGTAACTGATTCATAGGTATATAATCTCTGACCCCCCCCCCCCCCCCTAAAAATGCTCCAGGGATGCCACATAAATGGCTGACCCAGTGCTCAGACCCCAAGCATCACTATCACTCCAAGGAGATGATTGTGGGATATGCAGAAATAAAGATTCCAGTGTACCTATGTTCATATTTGTCCAAATGCCAAAAAAAAGCACAGTTTCATTGTCTAGGAATGAAACGATGGAACAACATGTTTAATGCATTCACAAAGCCCTGATCTCTAGGAAATTTGTCCTAGAATGAAGTCTTGACAAGGACCTCTGGAGCTGAGAAGGCCATTTATTTCTTACCCATGCTGGTCCTGGAGGAGAGGTGAACTGGAGGGGTTCTGGTGATATTCCCCATCATAGTAACCCACAAATTACCAGGGAATTAATGTCAGGGTAACCAGACATCTGATTGTAAGAAGAGCCGACAGTGAGGAGTCGAGAGATAGTGTGAGCTTTAGTGCCACACAGAACGATCGGGAAGGAGAGAAGGAAAGATTTGGGCTCAGGGGTCCAATGTCTTGAATACTTTGCATAGAGAAAAAAAAAGACTGAACAGGACTTGAGTTAAAAAATAAGTTAAGAACGAGGCAAAGGAAAATAATGAGCTAACATATAAATTTATCTGTGGTTCTGCAAATTGGTCATATTTGCTATGAGACTGGAGACATGAAAAAGTAATGGGGCTTGGTGACTGAGGACCCCGAAATGTAAGAAACATCATCAAGATTCATCTCACAAAACGGACCTGGCTAAAAGCGTAAGTACTGTCATCTTGCAAAGTATTTCATCAGCTGTGAGAAAAACAACAAGCGACCCAAGGCGTAGTTTTGAGGTGGAAGTTACCAGAGTTTCTTTCCATAACGTTGTAGTATTTTAGCAACAGGCTCTCATTGTTGCTATCCATAATAGCTCAAGAAGAATATATGCGGTGAAAGTATTTTGTAGTTTATTTACACGTTTCTAGGCAACGCCCCCTCCCGAGGGAAGGTGTCTTTGGTTGGGCCCTTGCTGCTGGCGGGCTGGGATTGGCATTATCTTAGCTCAGAGAGGAGCACGGGGGACGGCTCTGAACTCCAGGGCATACACGCATAAACACCAAGGCCTGCGGTAGGCAGGAAGGGTGCAGTGCTTTGTGGCAGCTGAGGAACACTCAGTGCCAGCTGCAGTAACTGTTTTAATGATCATTCAGTGAGGAAAACAACGAATGAAAGTCCTGCAGACAGACATATAAATGTCATGAACTGTATGACTATAATGACCTTCTGGGTTATTATTCATTTACATTTATTTTTATTTAGCTGTGGTTTTTGCCCAAAGCAACATACGTTTGAGGTATATAGCACATTACAAACATATGCCAAGGAGTCAGCTAGGTGTAAGTCCAGCTAGGCTGAGTTTCCAGTGAGTAACTGGGTTATTCCTAATAATGGGTTTCTGAAACGGCTCCTTTATAATGTTTAGTGTGACATTAGCTGATTAAGGGAGTCAATGCTTTTGCTTGTAAAATTAGAAAAGATCAGATTAATACGTAGGCTTGCCTATAGCCTAGCGCCCCAGCAAAATCAGAGGTCCCACATCAGGGAAAATTGAACAGTTATACTTACTAAATATGGCTGATTGAACTAACATAATGACACATATTGAATATGACGTTAAAAAAAAGGCAATTGCAAATGCAAAGCGACTATTATACTTTTAATTATTATTAAATAACATAAATATTGATTGCTTTCAAAATACAATTTATTTGCATTATTTAGCTCATGTGAATTGGTGACTGAATGGATTTATCGATGTTACGTTAAGTAGCTTATTATGTCTGAAACAAATAATTTGGGTAGCAGTAATCTGTCCTTAGCATCCCAAAGCATATTTATCCCTGGTGTCTGATTGGTTAATGTCCATAAAAGCACGTAGCTAAATAAGATTTTTTTTTTTCCATTTAGTTTGTGGGTAACTCTTGTTCATTGTGCTGGGTGGCTAATGGCCTCAACTATTTCCTCAGGTGGGCAAAAACCCTAGATCTGGATTCGAGTTGTGGACCCGAAGCTGGTGTTTTACGCTACACAGCACATATGGAAGGATTTATGCTGTCTGAGGTCCATCATTCCACGCTGACGCTTCTCCCAGAATGCTGTGTTTCCCTGGTAATCCGCCCCTATGGCTGCAGTCAGGCCTGATCTGCTTCCTTGGCACTTCATTCCCGTCTCCATGGCCGAGATTCCAGGGGCGGTTCAGACACCCCCCCATGAGGAGCCCGCCGGCCCTGGGGACGCTGCCGAAGTGGAATGTCCCATTTGCTACCAGGAGTACAACCAGGGGGGGAAATGCCCTCGCATGCTGGAGTGCCTGCATGTGTTCTGCACCGAGTGCCTGCAGAGGATCCAGCTGTGCCCCCCCCAGCCTCTAGGTTCCTGCGGCCCGCCGTCCATACCCTGCCCCCTGTGCCGTCACCCCACCCCCCTGGCGGCTGGCGATGCCCTCTCGCTGCCCTGCAACTCGCGCATCCTGGCGCGCCTGCCCCCCTGCGCCTTCCGTGTGCCCGTCTCCTCCGCCAGGCAGCTGGCCACTGTCACCCAGCGGGTGGTGCTGTCCCTGGAGGTCCGGGACACGCGGTTCATCATCCTGCCCACAGTCAGCCTGCGTGTGGAGCAGATGAGGACCAGGGAGGAGGGCCAAGCCATGGTGCCCCCCGGGGACGATGGAGTGGGTTTACATCACAACAGGCGGACCCTACTCTTTGTCCAGCTTTTGGCTATTACACTGTGGGTCCTGTTTGTAATGATCTGCGTTATTGGGGTGGTGTTTGGGCCCAAGATCTTCAAAAACTAAGGGTTAGGAAGTTAGAAACTGGCCAATAAATTTCCCCAAAATGCAACTCAACTGTTACGCAGGTATTATATTACATTGCTTAACCAAAAGCCAACTCCTTGATTTAAAGTTCATGGATGTCAGAATCACTGTAAAACTTAATGAAACAACAACTTTGGCTCATTAGTTTTAGTCTAAAATGGAAACGGAGAAGCAAATATGATGCAATGAAAGTTAAATACTTTTGGTATATCTGATTGTTTAATGAGTCACCAAAAAAGTAAATATCACTTTTTTTTTCAGTTTTTAGCTTGTCCTGTTGCAGGAAGTTTCTGAATTTCTTTGAAATTTCAGGTAGTTTTTTACGTTTGCGAAAGTCTTGGACAGATATCCAGTAATGAATATATAATGCATTTATTTTATTTACGTCATCTCCAAGCATTAAAAGGTTTCAGTGGGGGTCCCTGAGGCACTGACTTAAATGCAGATGCTTTTTCCGAAGCTACGTACCGAAAGGAACCACATTATACAATAAACTTTTCAGCCACTGGGTCTATTCAGAAGAATAACCAGCTCTTCTTTCACAGGACCTCAAAGAAACATTTGCCTGAACAGGGACTTGAACCCTGGACCCTCAGATTAAAAGTCTGATGCTCTACCGACAGCTATCCAGGCTCATGTCAGCACCATTTAAATGCTCTTTAGTTGTACCTTTAAAAGACTTTTTGTCACAGTTTTATTTTTTAAATTTGATAAATTCTGAATTATGGGTAAATAACATAATGACGCATATTGAATATGATCTAAAAAAAAAAAAGATAATTGCAAATGCAAAGTGACCATAATACTTATTTTCATTAGATGCTTCTCAGAATCAGATTAGGGTTTGAGGGATTTTCCTAGTTAACTTGTAGTTATTTAAGTTATTTTCATATAGTCCACTGTATAGCTTTTATATTTCTTACTTTTTATGGTCCTTTGTTCTTTCCTTGCTACTTGCTTCCATCACCCATTTGTCCCTCACATTCTGTTCTTTTATCTATCTCATGCTCACCAGCTGACTGCCAGGTTCCAGGAGTCTGTGTGAAGACCTTAGATAAAGGGTCTGCTTCCCTCAGGGGGGGCAGAGACAGACACAGACAGACACTGAACCGGCCGTGTGAAACATCTTTCTGTAACATCTTCATTCTGTCTTAATAAACTACTTAAGCTTAAGGAAACTACCCTCATCATTCGACTATGAAACAACCTGAGGTTTAACTGAAGAAATCTATCAGGTTACATGGGCAGTAAATGTAAAGATGCTGTTCCCCTTGGTAGTGCCTGAGAGAATCCAGGTGTGGAAAGTTGAGTGGTGATGAAAGCCACAACACCGAATGGTTGCTGGTTCAAATCCCAATAGGGACTTTCTGAGTTCCAGCTCTCAAGCTGAAATTTCCCAGCCTGATATTCAGGCAAATGAGCAGACACATTTCCTAGATGCTTTGCAGGAACACTTGAGGTAAGCAGTAAAACAACAATAATGGCCATGGGGCCTGCTTCTTCTGTGTAGGCTTGCAGCTTGTGCAAAGAGCAGCACCAAGTGCTGCAAGTTCTAGGGCTAAGACTGGCTTTGGGACACTACTGACAGCTTCTCTCTAAATTATATATAGGTTATACACTCACCTAAAGAATTATTAGGAACACCTGTTCAATTTTTCATTAATGCAATGATCTAATCAACCAATCACATGGAAGTTGCTTCAATGCATTTAGGGGTGTGATCCTGGTTAAGACAATCTCCTGAAATCCAAACTGAATGTCAGAATGGGAAAGAAAGGTGATTTAAGCAATTTTGAGCGTGGCATGGTTGTTGGTGCCAGACGGGCCGGTCTGAGTATTTC